GTTAATATAAAATTTTATAGCACTTAAAGTTTAGTGCATTTCTTAATTTATAAATTCTTAACTATTTTTAAATTTATTTTGCTTTAAATTATTATTTGAAGTGTAATTAACACATTGTTAAAATTATAAAATTTAACACAATAAATTAATTTTATTTCTTTAAAGACTATAAATTACTATAAATAATTTAATTATTTTTACTTAAAATCTAGACAATTTTAATAAATCGTTACATTTGTTAGTTAATTATTTGAGGTAACTATTAGTGATATGGGTTTATAAATTATAAGTTATAATTTATAACTTGTAATTTAATTATTCCTTTAATAACAATATAATTTATTTATGATACACTAAAATTATGTTTAAAACTTCCCAATCAAGTAGATAATTTTCTAAATTAAGTACAAAATATACAGTACTCTCATATATACCCCATAGCCTAAATAGGTAATAAATCAGATATCAAAGATATATTTCGACAATACATGTATTATATAATAATATCAAAAAGTATAATCAATTAAAATTACAAACGTCTACTAAATGTTTAGTGCATTCATGATTTTGTGACCCTTTTCCTACCTTCAGTATAATTTTTACTACTAATATGATATATAAATGTTATTTTTTCGGGTATTTAAGTAGCTTTGCAAACAATTTCGACTTATTGAGTAAAACATTTGCAGTGACTTAACAGTGTTTGTTTACTAAAAAGTAAAATATATTTGTATTATACTTTTATGATGATTATTCTCTTAAATATTTTTGATTTAACTAAATATGTTATTTATTGTGTTATTATACTTAGTTTACAACCAGCACAATGACTGACTATACCGGTAAATTCACCCTGGTCTCATCGGAGAACTTTGATGCCCTTCTCAAAGAACTCGGTCAGTTAACAAATAAATATTTCATTACTTATTTGTATCGCCTAATATTTTAATTCTTTATTGACCCTAGTATAAAATCATATACTGAACAATGTATGAAATAAGTAATAAAATTGAACACAAAAAATTTAGCAACTAACTTTATAAATTATAATAAAGTTTTGTAATAGTGAAGTCAGTTTTAAAAATATATTTCCTTATTCCTGAATATAGATAAAAAAGGAAATTGTTTTACTATACAGTAGAATATAAAAGTAACCTGTGCAAATATACTAGATTTGATTTTTAGGCAATGTTCTATTGTATGATTTTGTAAATTCTTTATAATGCAATTTTAAAAATATTTTTACTTCTACCGTATTTAGACATAATGTTTGCATAAAATATCTATTTGTTTATATACTGCTGTCAAACTCACTGATGAATCAAATCATAAAAATGTATAAAAACTTTTGACTGAAATTTATAAACAAAATTTCATTTTAATTGATAAATAAGTGTGTTTGTGACAAACCGGGGATATTTCAAAACGTGTATTAATGAATAATTCCCTCATATATGTATACTTTTACATCAATTTATGACATTTTTAGATATAATGTGATTATAAAACTAAACTTTTAAACCGACACATAATGCACACCCATTCACATCCCTGTCCTTCTGTTTATGTAATAAATGTTATCAATAGATATGGATTGAATGTACAGACAATTGTACAGACACATTTTTACTACACTCAATATTTATATCAAACGTTTTAAAACAATTAAATTATACCGTTACAGTACTTACTTATAAAAATAATTTATTACCACAATTTAGAAAATAAACTATAATTATTATATAATACTCTAGTAAATTAATTTAGATGATGTGTAATATAAATAAATAATTTCTTAAACCCAAAACATATAGCATTAGTACGTAATGTACTCAACGTTATATTTTTATACCCAAAGTACCAGTGCATACAATCTTGTTAAACTTTGATCTACAAATAAAATTGCCAACTTTTCACAAACAATTAAAAGCATAATTATCTTTTTAACAAATTATGATTTCACAATTACCTAATTAAAATACACAAAACATATTCGTGAAGGGTAAATAAAGTTTTAAATATATAAATCCCTCTAAAACTCAATTCATATAACTTTGATAGGAGTGAGCGATGAGATCATAAGCCAAGTGAAGAATAACACTCAGGAGTTAGAGATCAGCAAAGATGGCAATGTCTACACCTCTCGGACCATACAACCCAACAGAACACATGAAGTGAAGTTCGAGTTGGGAAAGGAGTTCGACGAGACCCGACCCGACGGAAAGACTGTTAAGGTATACCACAGACTGTAAACTAAGATCTCAAATAAATTAACAGTTAATCAATGATAAACTCTTAATACTTGTGGATAATAATCGAGGCAATCACGTTATTTTGTAAATATTTACCACGGTCTAACTAATTATTTAAATTATTTTTACATGATATGTGCGTTCATTTATGTCTAATTAATATTTTATTTAATAATTAATTTGTTGTCAATATATCAGTCACTAGTGGTGGCGGACGGCAACCGACTCATACAGACCCAGAAGGGCGGCGAAAAGGATCTGAAGATTGTTCGCGAGTTCAACGGTAATGAACTCCGAGTGACCGTCACGTCCGGCCCCGTGGTGTCGGTGCGTACCTACGCTAGAAAGTAGGCCTTAAACACCGAAAAACATTTGTTTTGCTCAATAAATAGTCGATTGAACTCAAAAATATTTAGCAGAAAAATAAAATTATAATTTTTATATTTTATATTTTGAAAATCTCAATGTATGGCTAAATATTCAATAAAAATAAGCCTTTCCTTTCAAAACAAGTATTTTATTGTGTTTTTATTTTAAAATAATGCATTTATTATAGAAATAAAAAGTTTGTTTCGGAAATAAAACTTTTATTGCATAAGAGATTTCAATAATAAAAATTCAATGTCAAGGTTAGGAGTTTCAAAGTCTAGGCATACAGTCATTGAATTACACATCCCGGATCATATTTCAAGGAATTTCAATAGTATTACATTGAACGGAGTCTTTACAAATTTTATTTTTCAAATATTTTGGAAGTGTTACAAGATAATAAATTTTTTATTTGATCATTAGTCAATGTAATTACCACGAGTCAGTGCTATGGCACGCCAGCGGTCAGGCAGCATACTAATACCAAGTGATGCATGCTTTTGAATAATGTCCCGAATTGTTGCTTCATAATCGCTAATTAGCTCATCTTGACTCTGGAACTGCTTCCCCTTATTAGGAGCTTTTATACCATATATCCCATCCATATCCGGCGGTGACATATCAGGACTATATGACGGGTGTTCTAATTCCTCCCGACGATTTTCTTGTAAAAACTCCCGAACTATTCGATGTTTATGGGGTCTAGCATTGTCATGTAAGATAATAGGCTTTGCCATTTTCTTTCGGGTAACTTCCGGGAGCACTCGACGTTCAAGAAACTTAAGATAAACACCACTGTCTACGGTTTGTCCATTGGGTAATATCTCGTATGTAAAGACTTGCTTCTTCCAAAGTGCCACGATCATTATGCACTTCCATTGCTGAACACTCGACGTTCAAGAAACTTAAGATAAACACCACTGTCTACGGTTTGTCCATTGGGTAATATCTCGTATGTAAAGACTTGCTTCTTCCAAAGTGCCACGATCATTATGCACTTCCATTGCTGAAACTCTGCACGCAATTTCTTTGGTCTGTGATAAGTAAGATAGAAATCCGGTGAGTTTGAAATTTGTACAAATAACAATTTTTAAAATCTTGTACTTCCGGCTTTTGACCAGGGAGCAACCATTCGCTACTTTGTCTAGCATGCTCAGGGTCATATAAGTTTAACCATATCTTTATAAACGCCCTCGGGTTCTTCACGTGAAACAGTATCGCGAAGTTTTTCCAATTGGGAAAATCGGGGGCATTGACATTTTTTAATGCCAAAAATAGAAGGATTAATTTAACAAAGTGAAACTCCATTATTAGGCAGTAGACAAACAACTGAACATATATAAACATTTACTTAAAAATATAATCTAATAGATAAGAAGTTATCATAGGGTTCAAAGTTTGTAAAGACTTTCCGTTCAATGTAATAAATAAAATTCTATTAATATCTATATTTTCAGTATATAATGTAGTAGCTTTGTACATTGTAAAATGTTATTATTTTGTCATTTATAATTCAAAAATAATTTTACTAATAGGTAGAATATAGATACTAAAAATAATTAAATATAATATTTAATGTGTTTTACGTAGAATATTAATATAAATCATTAGTAATAACCAAGTTCAGATAACCTACTCACTTGGTAACGTGGAGTTCACTGGTGTATGCTATTTGTGGGTCTGAGTCGGGCGTGTTTTTGATGTTATGTAAGTATACGTTGAACTTTGAGATACCTGTCCAAGAAAAATTTTAAATAATGAATATAATAATAATATTATTATTAATAAAATTTATTAAAAGTAAATTTATTGATATGATGATTTGGTATTTGTTAAATAAGTTAATTACTAAATCTGTAAACTAATTGATTATTAATTTTAAGTTGACTAAAATTAATTAATAATATTATTTTTGGATATTATGGTAAGTTTATTTTTAATAAGGCGGCGTGCACAAAGTACATACGCACTCGTAGGGGGAGGGGGTCATGCAGAAGCGTATGTCACCCTGTTAAATTCCTATGTACGATGGGTGTGTAGGAGGGGGAGGGGGTCAATTTTTGACCAAGATTTTGCGTACGTACTTTGTGTAAGCCGCCTAACTTGCCACTTTAATTAAATCACTGTATTTAATTTTTGATGTCTACGATAATAATTACAAGCTGTAATGCTCATTTTAAATTATTTATATATATATTATTTATTAGCGTTAGACTAATGGGACTAACTTTTGGGGATAACGATAGCGATGTATTTTTATTATGTTGGTTAATGCTAGTTCATTTTTGTCAGTCGGTTAAGGTTGTAAAAATTAGAGTTTTAATTAGTAAAATTATCTAGTAAATAATATGAACCTTATGCGTTATAAACTGTAAACTAAATTTTCATCAAATTAAAAAGTTGGTATTTTTGAAAATAATAAATTTTGAACTCATGGTGATTTAACATGCTTATGAAATTTAAAATAAAATTCCAAAAAGAAACCTTAGAATACTCAATGGCAATACACTCAACATTTAAATAAAAGCCAAAATGAGAATGCTTAAAATACGTTATTTATGACTAAAAATATTTTTATAAGATTAATCTTTGAATTCTGAACACGAAAATAAGAATTAAAAATTTCCAAGTTCATCAATAACGGAGATATTTGGGGACGTAATTTATGATTTTTTCAATAAAGTTTATTTTTCGTTCCTAAGTTGAATGAAGGCAAAAGTGTAATTTTTAAAAATTCTATTATATCCGTAATATATGGATATAAAAATTAATGAACGTTATTTTTGGAGTTAAAATTCGAAGGTTAATTATTTAAATATATTTGAATAATTAAATAAAATACCTTGGTCCTTGTCATGACAAGTCCTTTGTGTTCATTATAAAAATGTAATTAAAGATTATTTTTAAATAAACATATCGAAATATAATATAATTATCTTTTTAAAGTAAAAAAAGTATATGAGTTTTTAATAATTTTTAACTAGTAATTAATATAAAATGAGTCAATTTAATGAACGTATAACTTTAGTTTTAAACTTTAATGTAATTTTTTTAATTTAAGTTATAAAGTGTAAACTAAATTTTTAAAAAATTATACAGTTGGTATTATTTGAAAATAATAAAATTTATTTTAGTGCAGTATTTAATATTAATATGAAAGTAAATATTATCATACTCATTATCTTAAATTGATTTCTTAATTTATCAATTAATTAAATTATTTATAAAAAAAATTTATTAATATAAATACTGACCGATATTAATTCAGCAAATGTACCAGATGCTGGGTGTGACTAAAAACCCCCCAGAAATGGATAAATGTTTAAATGTACTTAGAAAATATTATCATGGCAAGCATCTGGGGGTGTGACTAAAAAACCCCCAAACCCCCAAATTAAAAAACCCACAGTAATAAACCCCCAAATTAAAAACCCCCACTTTCGAAAATGTCATTAAATTACATTTATTTTCTAGTAGAGGTGTATATTTAATGTAGTATAAAGTACTGTAGTTTTAATAATTACAAAATAATAAGTCTAATATATCATTCGGACAATTCATTATAAAGCATCCCTGATATTAAATATAGTTATTTTTGGATTATTTTAGTTTTATTTCAAATATTTTATTTGTTAGACATTACGGTATAGTACAGTATGATTATTATTATTTAAAATTATGAAAAATTTTATAAGCGTTTAATTTGCAGATAAATGCAGCTAAAAATTAAAATATTTCTTTAAATAATAATAATTGTTAAGTTAAAGAAACGTTTAATTATTTGGTTAATAAATATTATATCACTGTAGAATGCTTGAAATAAATTATTAAATTATAATATAAACTAATTTAATTATAATCACAGTATAATTTTATTATATTGTATCGTATTATAATAAAAATTATAATTGCAAATATTAGTTAAAACTACTGATACAAAATTTATATTAACTTGCTAATTGGTTAGTAAAATATTCTGGCATTTAATTGAATTAAAAATTAAAAAGCTGTTTACAAATTATAGGTTATTTTAGTTTGGGGGTTATCAAAGTGGGTTTTCTGAAAGTGGGGGTTTATAATTTGGGGGTTTATTACTGTGTGGGTTTTTTAATTTGGGGGTTTGGGTTTTTTTTAGTCACACCCCCAGATGCTTGCCATGATAATATTTTCTAAGTACATTTAAACATTTATTCATTATCTTCATGATTTAAAAATTGTTTTAATAATAGATATATGATTGTTTTAAGTGTTAGCCAGCAAAATAGACCCCGATTATGTGCGCAATAGTCGGCGCTGAGAGCCAGTGAGCTCTGGTAGGTTGAGTTACAGCCCGCCGACCAAGTTTTTGGTACATCAATACAGTTTACATAATTTTTGAAATGTTTTTGATTTAAATTACTTATAGTTATTATGTAATTAGGCAATTTAGTTCTAAGAAGTGAGATGATAATTTTTATATAATATAGATAACAAATGGACTACGAGATGTTGAAGTATGCCTAGAAATAGACATTTTAAACTGTAAATTTAGCACAAACACACATTAAAAATAGCAAATAACAAAATTAGTTTGAAAAGTTTATTTGTAGGAATTATTCTGCACTAGCCCATCCAAATGTCCTATCAGATTCTTAAAGTAAATTATTATTATTACAATAATTAAAAATAAACTGACATCGTGTGTGATCAATTAATGTATTATAAGGATTTTTTCAAAAATAAGTGGTCTGGAAAATAATCAATAATTTTATTATTATAGTATAAGTGGAGTTCCTTATATTAATAATTTTATACAAATCCTAAAATAATAATTTTTACATTATACAGTGCTAAATAAAATATATAAACTATAAATTATTTTTAAAAATATTATATATAAATTAGTTTTTTTTCTTATTCATATGTCTAATTAAAATATTATAATTATTAAAATTAATGCCACTTTAAATATAAATGATTAACATTTGTATATTTCATAGCAATATTACTAGGGTTGTAAAATTTGCATTGGTGTAGTTTCTACAAAATTATTAACATAATCTTTATCAAAAATTATTATCTGATGTACTTTATTTACTCACATACTATGTTAACATTTATTATCTTGTAACACTTCCAAAATATTTGAAAAATA